CGAACACGGCTTCACAGTGCGCCTACAGGCTGTCCCTAATTTTCCCTGAATTTTTCCCGAGGTAAGTGGATGGTAAAGGATTTATTATGGATAAAAGGATTTGTTGTAAATTATGCTCCATTGGTCTTTTTGTGTTTTCTACCCACCTTTACCTCCGTGACGGTGAGATATCGTGATGTCTTTACTAGGTTAGTGTAGCTCATTCCTTATTTAATCATTTCAGATCAGGAAGACATTGTTCCCGAGCCCGTTCCGCAGGAGGACGACGAAGGGGACGCCTAAAGACTCCATAGTCATATTCATAGCTTTTACTTTCGAGTTTCTCCTTTAGTTAGTTTGATCTTTTATATTTTGTGAGCACGTTTTTGGTTTTAGTGTAAGGGATGTTAATCGAATTTTTTTTGACTTCGCTTCCGCATTTGATATTTTTAATACACATTTCATTTTAAATTTCCGGGGCCGTTTCAATGGATTGCTTCAATTTAGAGGAAGACTGTGCATTCCTAATAACTCGAACTTGAAGATACTCATCTTAGAGGAAGCACATAATTCTAAGTTTACTATACACCTATACATCACCAAGATGTATCAGAATTTGTGACCTCGATATTGGTAAAATGGAATGAAAAAAGACATCTAAATTTGTTAATAAATGTCTCACATGTGAGAAGATCAAGACTGAACATCAAAAGCCAGGGGGGGATTACTCCAACCTCTACAAATCCCAAAATGGAAGTGGGAACATGTCACTATGGGCTTTGTGATGGATTTGCCTAGAACCAAGTTGAACCATAATACTATTTGAGTGATAATGGAAAGATTAACGAGGTCAGTCCATTTTTTACCAATAAAAGCTATAGACATTTTAGACAAACTTGTCAGGCTATATATTAAGGAAGTAATTAGGCTTCATGGTATTTGGTATCAGTAGTTTTAGATCGAGATGTTTGTTTCACCTCTAGATTTTGGACGAGTCTTCAACAGGCTCTAGGCGCCATATTCTCTTTCAGTACGATATTTTACCCACAAACAAATGGTCAAATGAACCATCAAGATATTAGAAGACATGTTTAGGGCTTGTGTACAAGAGATGGAAGGAAATTGGGACGACCATCTACCATTAATCAAATTTGCTTATAATAACAGTTATCAATCCAGTATTAGTGCAGTTTCGTATGAAGTACTTTATGATAGACCTTATAGATCTCCTATATGTTAAGAAGAGATTGGAGACAGGAAATTAATTAGACCTGAATTAGTCGAAAAAACTACATTAAATATTGTTCTAATTAGAAAATCTTCAAACCGACTAACGTAAACAAAAAAAATTATGTAGACAATGGTAAAGATGCTTAGATTTGAGACAGAGGATCATATGTTCATAAAAGTATTACCAATGAAGGGCTTATGAGATTTGAAAAGATAGACAAATTGAGCTCTCACTTCACTGAACCGTTAGAAATACTGGAAAAAGTTAGGACTATTGTTTACCGATTGGTATTGCCACCAGAGTTAGCTAATATCCATGATATATTTCATGTATCCATGCTACGCAAGTATCATCCTGATCCATCTCATGTACTTTAGTATAAAGATATTCCTATTGAGAAAAACATGTCCTATTAAGAGATACCAATGGGCATATTGAATAAACAATAGCAAGTACTAAGGAACAAGAGTATTCTGATGGTCAAGGTACTCTGACAACATCATTCACTAGCAGAAGCTACTTGAAAAATTGAGTACTTGATGCGAGCTCAATATCCTCACTTACTTTAAAGATACATCAAATTTGAATAATCAAATTTTTATAAAGAGGGGAGAATTGTAATATCTAGACCCTAAATAAAATAAATAGGGATATGTAAATAAATAATCAAATTAGGATTTAGGGTCTCAATGAAAAAAATATTAAAGATTAGATATTTTTTATTAATTTTAAGGACTTAAATAAAAACATATAAGAAAGAGGGAGAAGGTAAAAGTGTAAATAAATAGAAGTGGAAGAGGGAAAAAAAATCAGAAGATGGACGGTCCTGATCGAGCCGTCTGAGAAATCCAACGGTTGGGATTCTATTCAGGTTCAATGGCCCAGATCGAGCCTTGCAAGATCCAATAACCCAGAGAGACGATTATATACGAAAAAATTTAGGGTTTCTTCTTCATTTTGAAAAAAGAAACTGAAATTGAGAGAATGAAAGAGATAGCAGCTTGGGTGAGAGAGAGGAAGTCAGAGAATAGGAAAGGAGAGAAGAAGGGTATGTAACCAAACGGGAAACTGAGGGGAAGAGCAGAGAACAGCCATCGCAAAGGAATAAAAGAAGCAAAAGTAGTAGAGTCAGGAGTGTCGTGCAAGCCGAATGCCGAAGGGAAGGGGAAGGAAGGGAAATCGGGTCAAGGAGCACCGGCTGACGATATAAACTGAAGCAAATAAGGTAAGTTTGTCCATTTCATCTTTTCATCTCTATTTTCTTTCAATCTTTTTCCTATTTCGCACTAACTAGCATATAGGTGTGAAATCCATCGTCTAAACTTCGAAGTAGGCAAGGAGAGTCACGGGGAACCAAGAAGACAATCCTTAGAGTTGAACCCGAGGCTAAATCGCACCACGCCGGCACATGTAAGCCTTTTCTATGATTGTTTGGTTGTTAGGGCGATGGGGACGGGTAGTCGATGTCGGGCTGACCACGTGAGCTCGGCCTAGCCACTTGCTAACTCAAAAATGAAAGACTCTTCCTCAGGTATGTGACCCCGATGCTCCCAGGTTTGGGAATAGGGACTGTTGGGGAGCAGATTGCTCACCCTTAGGCGGTGAGCCAAACATCCATTGAGTTGTCATTAAAAACTGTAATTTCGGTCGAATTTAGCCTTTGTTTAATATTTAAATTGCATTAATTAATCTATGTCGTGTGTGTGTACCATGAAACAGGACATTCGAGCATATCTAGGAAGGTTCAAGCAGATATGGAAAGGTTGTTCCACTAAAGGAATTGTAAGTATTTTCGATTCTGAAACTAGATTAAGATTTTAAATTTATGTATGTATATTATTAATTTTGTGTGTGTTTTAAAAATAAAACAGATACTGACCTGATTTCTTGATGAAGAACATAAATTGAACCTATGATAAGTGAATCCTAATCTATTTAGAATTTATGAGGAGATAGAAACCAAAAAAAAATTCAAGGACTGAGGAATACTTAAACTGGTGATAAGAAATAAAATTTAAATTTTAAAAAATACCAATTAAGCGGAAGGTTGAGAAAAAAAAAATAATGTAAGAAAATGAATTAAAATATAAGGAAAGTAATTATAGTTATAAAACGATTATTTTAAATAAAATTTAAGAGAAAAATAGAATAAGAGGGAAGTAAATAAGAATTAAAAAAGGAGAGGATGTGAGTGAATTAGGTATGGATCCTGGAATACCATCTCATTTTATCTTAATCGAGGAAGAGAATGTGTGTGTGTGGCTGAAGTTCAGCGGGCATGATGAACCTGCACATGAATATAGTTTGAAATATAGTCTAGATGTGAATAGGTGTTTGTGAGTGTGGGTCACCTAATAAACATAACTCATGTGGTCATTGTGAGATTTTGTGTGTGTGTTATCCATGCGATGGGGGGATCCATTTCGCCTCTCTTCGACGACGACATAAATGGTATCGTGCGATGAAACTTTAAAGATGAACTTTCGAGTGTATATATGTTCTTTCGAGTGTATGTGGTTATACTTTGAAGTTATAAATGATATTCGAGTGAAATTAAGAAATTCGATCAGAAACATGTGAAATCAGAATGTCCAAAATAATTGTATTTAATAAGCAAATTTTGGTTTAGAAAATGGTGAAGATAATAAATAAATTTTGCTTTAAAAATATTATTATTGCATTTGTCCCACATTGTATATTTTTGCATGAGATCTTATCTGAGTTTGGAATAACAGAAATGTTTATTGAATTGGTAAAATTCATTAAATTTTACCCTAATATTTTTCAGAGAAAAAAGAAGAGTTAGAACTGTTATCGGACGAATAAAATCTGTGAAAAGGTTCATTTTTATGTATATTTTGTGCATATTTAAAAAAATTTTGTTTTATTTTGTTAAACTCTAAATTTTGACTTCATGTTCTATATACATAACTACTGTATATATCACATGAAATGTTAGATTGTATATTAAATTTTTTAAACTATGCACATGTATATTCTATGTACCCATTGTATAAAAATGACATGAGTAGAAATTGATACCTTATACCGAGTTTGGGGTATTACATAATGAAAATAGAATAAATTTGAGCTAAAAATAAAGTTATAATTTATCTTCAATTTTATATTTTATATTTTAAAAATCTTAGTAATTAGTAGTGATGATATAAAAAATAAATATTTATATGAAGTGCTAAATAAAAAAATAATAATAGAAGAAAATGATAAAAAAAAGTATAAAGTAAAATTTAAAGTTCATCATGAAAGTAAGATCTGTAATCAATTATTTTTTAAATAGATAGAAAATAGGTGTCTCCACAAAGATTTTTTTTTTTTTTTTTGAGGATTTTTACAAAGAAAATTAAAGGTGAAGATATATTTTTTGGCTAAAATACTAAATTTGTTTTCATATTTTTTAAAAATATTTAAATTGGATAGTGACCTTTTTTTTTTATAATTTTAAAATTTTAAAATTTTTTAACTTAATCCAGGATTAACTGTTAATGGATACTAACATTGTTAGTAAAAATGTCACGTAAATTTAGTTTTGACACAAAATCTAGTTTAATAAAAAAAAACAAAGTTCTTGTAAATCTAAATTCATAAAATTAAATTCTCTCTCTCTCATCAGATGGATATGAATTCTCATATTTTAAAAACACATAAACAGTAATTTAAGTAGAATGTAACACACATTCAATTTGGATTCACATAATATATATATATATATATATATATATTTTTGTTTTACTTCAAAGCAAAGTCCTCTCAACAGTGTTGACCAGCCCTTCAATCATTAAAAACATCGATTTCCTCGCCATTTTGAAAACATCCCGCATTGTTAACTTCATCTTCATAAATCCTAACAGAACCAGCAACCTTTCTCAACCAGCATTCATGGCGTTCTCTGCGATTCCTCTCTTCTTCTTTTCTCTTTTCCTCCTCAATCCCCTCTTCACCCTCGCCAATATCCACAAAACCAACAATCTACTTAAATCAACCGTTCTGAGTCAACTCACCACAACACCACCCCACAACAACACCCCACCGAAGTTCTTCTTTGAAGTCACCAAACCCATCAAACTACCCAAAACCAAACCATGCTCTCACCGTGTCCTCCGCCACGACTTCGCATTCACTTATGGTAGATCCCCTGTTCTTGCCAATTATACCCCTCCTTCTCACTGCCCCTCTCAGAGTTTCTCCAAGATTGTCCTTGAATGGAAAGCTACTTGCAGAGGCAGACAATTTGATCGCATTTTCGGAGTTTGGTTGGGCGGTGTAGAGCTTCTTAGGAGCTGCACAGCTGAGCCTACCGCCACTGGAATTCTATGGCGTGTTAAAAAAGATGTGACTAGGTACTCTTCTTTGCTTACTAAGAATGATACACAGACTCTTGCGGTTTACCTTGGTAATCTGATTGATAAGACTTATACTGGCGTTTATCATGTAGATATAACTTTTCATTTTTACCCTGCTGAAGAGGATTTGAGTTACGGCCATGATTTGGGTAATTCGATTCCTGCGTACGGTTCTAATGCTGATTTGATCTTACCCATTTCGAGGAATCTGCCATTGAATGATGGGTTGTGGTTTGAAGTTGAGAATTCTACTGATACTGAATCCAAGGAATTTAAGATTCCGAGAAACGTTTATAGGGCTGTGCTTGAGGTTTATGTTTCTTTTCACGAGAATGACGAGTTTTGGTACGGGAACTTTCCTAGTGAATACATTGATGCTAATAATCTAAGTGGTGTTGGGGGGAATGGGCCTTTTAGGGAGGTTGTGGTTAGTCTTGATAAGCAAGTGGTTGGTGCAATTTGGCCCTTTACTGTTGTTTATACTGGAGGGATTAATCCTCTCTTGTGGAGACCTATCAGTGCCATTGGTTCATTTGATTTACCCACTTATGATATTGAAATTACTCCGTTTTTAGGGAATTTGTTGGATGGAGAAACCCATAAATTAGAGTTTAGTGTTACTAATGCTTTGAATGTGTGGTATATAGATGCTAATTTGCATCTTTGGTTGGATGGTACGAGCACAAATGTGAAAGGGAAGCTTCTGAAACACAGTAGTTTGCCTCTTCTGTTCTCTTCGATGAATAATTTCAAGGGCTTGAATGGAAAATTCTTGACAAATGTAAGCAGATCAGTATCATCAATTGGCTGGGTCAAGTCCTCTTATGGGAAGGTTACAACTTCTTTCACCCAAAACTTCAGTTACAGCAACTCAATGATACTGGGTAAGGATGGGAATTTGCAGATTGTGAATCAGTTTATCCATTTTGATGACAGTGTTTATGCGAAGCGGTTGTCCTCATATGCTCTCTTTAAGAAATCACTCAAAACCTTTCCCTTTTACTTATACTCTGACTACTCAGATTCGGGAAATGAAACTTCTCTTTCTGTTGCAAATGTCACTATCGGATTTTATGAGAAGAAGTCTCAGAGTGCTGGTTTTGGATTGTCAATGAGCATTCTAAAAAATAAGCAGGATGGGCAGGGTCTCATGGTTGTAAAGGACAACTTGGTAATAAGGGGACTGGGAAGTACACAACAAGTATACAAATATGATGGTAGTGACTTCTGCTACTTTAGGAACATTAGCAGCTCAAACTACACCATTCTTTATGATGAAGAAAGAAGTACTTGTGATAAAAGCACGAAGTCTTATTTTGGATTTGGCTTAAACAAATGGCATGTTCCATCTCGTAGAGCTTTTCTAGCATCTAATCTACATGATGATCAGAAAGGAGTTTAGTAATTCAAGTTAATTGGCCCTTCGGTTACTTCATGAAAGGAGCTTTCCAGGTTAGATTTTCCATGGAATTGTTGCAAGTGAAAACACCCAATAAATTATAAGCTAGTTTTCTTTCGTGTGGAAAGCCTCTGGTCTTGTAGATATGTTTATATCTTTTTATGATGACTCATTATTATTTTTTTCAACTTATTCCAGTGCCTTGGGCTCCATGAATTACTTTTTTTTCCTTGAAATCATGCACCAATTCATCCTTAAATCTAAATAACCTAATGCAATTTTGGTTTACAAATTTGAAGTTTGGGCCATCTCAAGTTTATGAGTTTAAGATGCAACTGGTGGTCTCCATATTTTCATATTTCATGTGTTTTTTGATTGCAATTGGTTGCTAATTTAATACCTATCCTCCTGGTTCTGGGCTGAAGCATTTGTTGTCTTAGATGATTTTCTGCTATGGTTACAGGGTTAGTTACTACAAGAAAGATGAGGGAATTACCTCTATAAGATTGTACTGGATATTGATCTTTTGTAGTATTTGATGCATGTTTGCCAAGTTCTTATTGATTCAAACTGTTCATTCCCATGCAAATGCTAGATGAAGCAGGAGATTCAAAGAGTTGTTAGGTCGCCATGTTTTGCAACTTATTATATGTATTTAGAGCATTGCTGCATTTAATCATTTAGGTTGCATCCCTCTCTGCTTCATGCTGCAGGTTTTTACACTAGTTTTTTAATAAGGAAATCCCTTTGTAGTTATTTATAACTGCGAACTACTTCACTAGATACATCAATTAGTGCTCCTTTATGTTTTAACATATTGACTTGTAATATTGGAAACTATACCTATGTTCAGAACAAATAAATTTTATTTGGGAAATTTATTTAGGAACCCATATTTAATTTAATTAGGACTAAGAGATGCGAAATTTCCATTCAAAATAATAGAAAAATGACATTTTGTGAAACTTCAATTGGAAGTGAAAGAAAGCATTCTAAATTCCATCAGAATCCATTGTTTCTGTTTCATTTAGAATTCTCTCAAATTTCATCACCGTGAATGAGATTTTCATCGTTTCGTAATAAAACTAGGATTTTATTTTGAACGAATAAATTTTACTTGTGATATTTATCTCAAAAATCCTGCATTTTCTCTTCACTTTCTATGAAAAAACAACTTATCTATTGATATCTTTTATTTAGATAACTTATAATTTAGTCAACTTATACCCTGCCCTTCCATATTGTCTAAATTTATACATTCTGTTATATTAGAACCATTATCATTAGGATTTAAGGGCAGAGTTACTTTTGTAATTTCTGTCCTCTTTCTCTTTCTTTTATCCTTTATTTCTCAGTTCTTTGGTTTTCTAGTAAAAGAAATGCTGTATCACCTTTTGTTCTTTTTAGCTTAGTGGAAGGAGTAGAAATTAATGTAGAAATCTATAAGCCAACATACATGTTTTTCAGGTGTCTAAATGGAAAGGAAAAGGACTGAAGTTCTGTAAATAGAAGGTGCTTTTCAGGTTTATTGCATTGCAATTCTTTGCTGTCATTAACCTCTCTCATACATTCTGTTCAACCTAAGTTACTGACATAACAGAAGGTATAATTTAAGACAATCTAAAAATATATGGTGTAAATTAAAAACGTACAAGTTGTAAATTGAGATAAGAACAAAAGTACATGCTGTTCTTTTTTCTGGTTAAAACCCCAAGATTCCAACAAAAGCAGCAGACCTTCCAACCAGCATTCATGGCATCCTCTGTGATTCCTCTTTTCCTCTTTTCTTTTTTCCTCTTAAATCAACCCTTCGCACGTGCCAATCTCCATAAAGCAAACAATCTTCTTAAATCAACTCTTTTAAATCAACTCAGCACAACACAATCCCAAATCAACCCTCCACCAAAGTTCTTCTTTGAAGTCACCAAATCCATCAAACTATCCAAAGTCAAGCCATGCTCCCACAATGTCCTCAGACATGATTTTGCATACACATATGGCAAATCCCCTGTTCTTGCCAATTATACCTTTCCTTCTCATTGCACCTCTCAGAGTTTCTCCAAGATTGTCCTAGAATGGAAAGCTACTTCCAGAGGCAGACAATTTGACCGCATTTTTGGAGTTTGGCTTGGAGGTGTAGAGCTTCTTAGGAGCTGCACTGCTGAGCCTATTGCCACTGGGATTCTATGGCGTGTTGAAAAAGATGTGACCAGGTACTCTTCCTTGCTTACTAAGAATGATACACAGACTCTTGCTGTTTACCTTGGTAATCTGATTGATAAGACTTATACCGGTATTTATCACGTGGATATAACTTTTCATTTTTACCCTGCTGAAGCGGATTTGGGTTATGGCCATGATTTGGGTAATTTGGTTCCTGGGTATGGTTCTAATGCTGATTTGATCTTTACCCTTTTCGAGGGAATCTGCCACTGAATGATGG